GTCAGTGCCCTTCACTGGAATGGGGGAAAGATGCCAGGCCCAGAGCTGAAATACCTGTTCTGAAATGGCTTCTATGTTTATCTCTCCAGAGAGGAATTTTAAAAGCCTCTCTCTGCTTCTCTCTCTCTCTCTCTGCCTCCTGCCTCCCTCCCTGCCTCTCTCCCTCTCCCTCTCTTCCCCAGGGTGGGGGAGGGGGCCCTGGTAAGCCTAGTTTGAGAACTGACGTCCTGCTGCAAGGCCAGGCCTCCTAGGGGTCATGTTGACTGGGCAGTGGGTGCCCACCTCCAAGGCCTTGGCCTAATTCCTGCCACTCCTCCCACCATCCATGCCCAGGGCTTTGGTTTGTCGTAAGTTGGCAGCCAACTCTGCTGAGTGTCTAGCTGACAGTGCTTAGGGGAATTCAGAGAAGCTGACCAGCTTGGAGAGGGAGGTGAGGAGGCACTTTTCCCCCTACTAGGACCCCACCCAGACTGGAGCCAGGTGTCTGGAGCTGGGGGGAGGGCCTGGTGGGCAGTCTGGCTGGAGCCTGAGGAGCCTGGAGGGAGTGGGCTGGGGGAGGGGAGCCCGCTCCACCTTGGGAGGAGAGTGGCTGCTTCAGATCTGAGAACTCCAGCATTTCTGGAGCTCACCTCACAGCTGATTGTGTGGCTTTTGGAGATAAAAGGACAATGATGTTTCGGTGCTTTGAGTAAAGGGACAAGGAGACCTGAGCATCATTTTGAGTAGCTCAAAGGGGAGATTTGAGGAGAATGAATGAATTGATTAAAGTGATTTAACTTAAAGGATTCAGGCATTATCTGTAGGCATGGGTATACTGGGGGCTTGGGGGGAAATGAAGCTGAGAAATGTGAGATATACTCAGTGGGAGAGGAGGATGGATAGAGTAAGAGGAGTGAAGACATAAATGTGCTGAGGCTGAATGCTAGCCTGGTAAAGAGAAGGGTTACTTGGGTCCTGATGGCAGAATGGGCCAGTAGGGTCTCAGACTGAGGTCTGACAGCATTTAAAGGAGCACCTGGTAGAATAAATTTGGGGAAATATTTATAGGTAGAAGAGAATAATGAGTGAGCTAAGGAAATATTTAGAAGCCCATCCTTGGGTAAATATCAGGGGGGTTATGGGAAGTGCTTCGTTGCCTGAAAGATACTAAGTGGATGCTATTTATTGGATTATGGGACACAATGATGGTACAGGGATGTTTGGAGATAGTGGAAAGATATTTAAGAGATCAAGATCAGTAAATATTGGGAATTGAGATTGTCAGAACATGTGTGGGGGTCCAGTGTGAAATGTGAGGGGTCATGAAAACATTTGGAGACTCAAGGCTCTGGTCTGGCTTCGTAGTGACTGCTTGCTTCCTTCCCCTCTGCGCATACCCAGGTTCCGGAATGAGGACTACACAGTACATGTACAGCTGAATGACTACCTGGACATCATCTGTCCCCATTATGAGGATGACTCTGTGGCAGCTGCTGCCATGGAGCAGTATACACTGTACCTGGTGGAGCTCGAGCAGTACCAGCTGTGTCAACCTCAATCCAAGGAACAGGTCCGCTGGCAGTGCAACCACCCCAGTGCCAGGCATGGCCCAGAGAAGCTGTCTGAGAAGTTCCTGCGCTTCACACCCTTTACCCTGGGCAAGGAGTTCAAAGAGGGACACAGCTACTACTACATCTGTGAGTGCCTGGGAGGCATGCAGGAAGGTGCACATACTGGGGGCCGCAGCTGGCATGATGCATATGCCTGAGTACAGGCTTAGTGGGGAGTCAAGCAGCAGAGGGCCTCTCCAGTCCTGGATTCTGTTTTCATTCATTCACATTACAAATGTGGAGTGAGCTTCTACTGCGCTTGGTACTGCGGTCACAAAGATAAATAAAACACTATAGGTTCCCTGTCCTCAAGGAAGCTGGGAAGAGACACACATAGGTTAACCATTAGAACAGTATGATATGGTAGGCATGAGCACAGGGGCCCTGGAGTAATGACCTGGGTACCTTCCAGGTTAGGGGGGCTCAGAGAAGACTTCCTGGTTTCCCAGAGCTTAGGACAAGCAGAGGAGTTGACCGTAAATGAGGCGACATGTGCAAAAGCAACATGACCATCTTCAGGGAACTCCATATGGTCAGCCTGGATTAGAGTAGGAGGTACACTTCAAAGTAGGAAAATATGAGCTTGGAGAGATGGACAGGGCAGATCACAGGGACCTAAGAAATGCTAAGAAGTTTATCCTGAGGGCAGTAGAGAGCCACTGGCAGATTTTAATAGTGATAAGATCGGCTTTTTAAAATGCATCCAGGCCTCACCCTTTCAGTGGTGCCTAGGCAGAAGGAGTACAAAATATCTGGTAAGGGGAGCATGCTGTGCAGACCTCACCCAGCTTCCAGCTGGGACTCCTGAAGGATGGACTGTGGGGAGGGGACAGTGTCTATGTTCTTTTCACCACCATCTCCAAAGCCAAGCGTTATTCCAAAGAAGGGCAGTTGGACTGAACATGGGGCAAAAAGTGGGCAAAACCTAAAGAATCAAAGCTTAGAGGAAAGAAAGGGGTTCAAATGAGCAGGGACTGAGAAAGCAGGGCCAGAGGCATTTGCACTTCTTTTTTCTCCCAACAAAGGTTCCTTCCCCTTCCTTAACTTTGTGTGGGTTTATCTTGCAGCCAAACCCATCCACCACACAGAAGACCAGTGCTTGAGGTTGAAGGTGACCGTCAATGGCAAAATCAGTGAGTGTCAGGGCCATGTGAACCTCTTTCCTCCATTCCCCTGCTAGACCTGGCCTAATGACCTGGGATGGTGGGAAGTTCCACTGGCCAGCCCACCCAGCATTCCCATTCCTCTGTCTCCCTCGTATAGTAACTAATCTATGGCTATCCCTGTGTTTTAGCTCACAGTCCTCAAGCCCATGCCAATTCACAGGAGAAGGGACTTCCAGCAGGTAGGTAGCTGGAGTAAATTGGGCCTGGGGCAAACAAGGGTGTCTGTTTGAGGAGGCTGGGTACAGGAGGTAGCTCCTTTACCAGGCAGGGACTGGAGAAACCTTGTTGGGCAGAGGGCCAGGGCCAATAGTGAGACTGCTCACCTGAGAGCCTTTGCCCTCCCACCTTGCAGATGACCCAGAGGTGAAGGTTTTACATAGCATCGGTCACAGTGCTGCCCCCCGCCTCTTCCCACTTGCCTGGACTGTGCTGCTCCTGCCATTCCTGCTGCTACAAACCCTGTGAAGTTGTATGCCACATCTGGCCTAAGGACTAGAACTGTGCTGTGAAGACAGAAGCAGGCACCCTCACCTATCCTGGGGCCCCTCCCAAAGCCCCAGTGCTGGGAACCACTCCCACCACATGCACAAGCTGCCACCCAGCAGCTTCAAAACGGGTCAGTATTAAGGGTTTCAACCCATAGGAGGTCAGCATGCCTGGTAGTGCCATCCCTGCCTCTACCTTAGAGGGATGGACAAAAAAACAGGACAGTCCTTCCCCCTGCAATTCCTGCCCTTAAACCAAAACAACAAGCTGTGCAGACATGGACTCTTAAGAAGGGTACTGTGGGAGCTGAGCTGGAAGGGGTCTGGGATTATGTGGGTAGACACTGAGTTTGGCAGAGATGCCCCTCCCACAGAGAGCCAGGATGCCAAGATGAACTGACTGAAGGAAAGGCAAGAGACAGTTTCCTGCCTGGTAGCCAGACAGGAGAGGCAGTATGCTTGGGCAGACCCAGGATCTCCCATCTGTAGAGCTGCTGTGGAGAGGTTTGCAGCCAGCCACTGCACTCTCTCCTATCCTGGGGTAGCACTCCTCAAAGCTGAGCCAGCGGGGGGCTGTGCCAACCTTTTCCTAGAATGTAGCTGTAAGGGCAGTGCCCATGTGCCCAGAGTCTGTGCCTAGAGTGTAGCCTGAAGGGCAGGGCCCACATGTACAGGATCTGTATATAAACTTGCTGTGTGTCTGTGCTGATTTCTACAACTGGAGTTTTTTTATACAATGTTGTCTCAAAATAAAGCTGTGTTGTTTTTTTGTTGTTGTTTTGGAGTGGCTTTTCTGCCCCTCCATACTAACATGAACCGTTGAGTCTCTGCTATGGAGGATACCAGTAGCAATTGGGTTTGAATTTTTCTCCCCTCTCTGGAAAGAACACATTCCCCTCACCAGCCCCAGAGTGGGGGGTTCCCTCTTCAGGGTTGTTGGGGACAGGAGTGCTCCCCACAGTATCTCAGGCTCTAGGCTGAACCCACTCTGGAAGTTCTTCCTCTGCCTCATTTCCACCCTTGCAGCGCTGGGCTCTGGGCTTTGGCATACCACGCAGATAGTCATACTGTTGAGTGAGTCAGGGCAGCCCTCAAGAGAACACCGGCTGAGGCAGGCGCCCCACTCAGCAGCCCCACCAACAGAGACTTGTGGGAATCTGGGAGGGAAAGTTCCCAGCAGCAGTCGGCTTGGACTAGGGGGTCAGAATGATATGCGCTTTAGTCACCTGCCAAGTTGGTGGTGTGGCTGAGAGGAGAGGGCACCTGACAGAACTGGTGATTCCTGGCAACCCCTGTTATTTAGGGGAAAGACTGGGAAGAGGCTTCAGCAAACTGGGAAAAACCTCCCAAACCCTGGGCCACTGAGATTCTGCTCTGGAGCTCTGAGTGGGAATCACGCTGAAGTCCGGTTGGGTCCAGCACGACTTTGACGTCTACCACGTAGGCTCGAGGGCCCGTGGGAGAGTAGAGGCCGGTGTGTGGGTGATCCCAGGGGTACACGGTGGGGGGAGCGACGGGTGCCGGGACGGCCCGCGGAGCCCTAGGAAGCGGCGCACCGAGACCGGGAGGGCGACGTCAGGTCCCGGAACCTCGCGAGCCTGCGGCCGGCGCGGGGGCGGGGCCTGAGTTCCCGCTTTACGTCCTAGGCCGTAAAGTTTCCGGGCGACCGCGGAGGACGCGGAGAGGCGGGGCCCGACGTCGCGAGCCCCGCACCAGCTGGCCTGCCCGCGGCGCTGCGCGCAGAAGCGGACTTTACTAGGATGGAGGCGGGCGGCGTGGCGGACACGCTCCTTTCCGGAGCTTGCGTGCTCTTCACCCTCGGCATGTTCTCCACCGGCCTGTGAGAGCGCGGCCGGTCGGGGTTGGGGCAGGACCAGGAAGCCAGGAAAGGAGCGAGAGGGGACGGAGACGTGGCTGCAGCCCCAGGCTGCGTCCGGAACCTGGGGTCAAAGTGGAATCGGGTCGAGGGGACCGGGGTACCAGGGCGAGGCTGGTCACTTGACCCGAAGAAAGCCAGGGAGCTGAGGGGCGGAACCGGGGGTCTGCAGTTTTCAGGGGAGGATGACAGGCCTTTGGGGAACTCCACTCCCCAGCAGCCTGGTTCTCCCTTCCCCTCACCCCTGCCTTCGGGGCACTATTACAGCTCGGACCTCAGACACATGTGGATGACCCGGAGAGTGGACAATGTCCAGTTCCTGCCCTTTCTCACCACGGATGTCAAGTGAGAGGGATGACAGCTGCAGCGGGAAAGACTGTCTGAGAGGGGGGTGGGATGGGGTGAGGACTGTGGAAGAGGCCCCTCGGGTCCCCTCCCACATTCAACCCCGCGGCAAATGTCCATCCCCTCCATCCTACAGCAACCTGAGCTGGCTGAGTTATGGGGCCTTGAAGGGAGACGGGACCCTAATCGTCGTCAACGCCGTGGGCGCTGTGCTTCAGACCATATATATCTTGGTGTATCTGCACTACTGCCCTCGGAAGGTAGAGGCCCTCCCTTGCACCCACCTCTCTGCTGCATGCCCTGCCTTGCTGGCAGGAACAGTGCTTCCTGGAAGACTCTAACAAGCTGGCACTGCCACCCTTTCCTGGAAGGCCCCTCCAGCATTGCAATCCTGCTTCCTTCATAAAGTCTGCCTTGATACTCATACACCGCCCCCTATTCTGGCAAGGCTGGTAGCTCTGCCTAACCGGATAGTGCCTTACTGCCCAACAAACAGGGAAAGGGCTTCAGAACCAGGGCCAGTGGCTGAGAATGAGATGATTAGCTGTTTCCCCATTCAATCATACAAGAATTTATTAAGCTCCTCTTTTGTGTACCAAACTCACACAAAAAAGATACGTTTCCTTCCCCTAGAAATCTCCAGTGTTGTGGGTGAGTCAAGTTACTGGTGGGGGAAAGGCTGTGACAAGTGCAATACTGGAGGCCTAGACAAAGCTTGGCTCCCCCACTGGAGCACGGGAAAAGGCAGGATGAATTACTTCCAGTGGGGGAGTCAGAAAGGGCTCCTGGCACACCTAGAAGTAAAGCTATTCTCTCTCCTGCAGGGTACTGTGCTCTTACAGACTGCAACCCTGCTGGGGGTCCTTCTCCTGGGTTTTGGTTACTTTTGGCTACTGGTGCCAAACATTGAGGCCAGGCTTCAGCAGCTGGGCCTCTTCTGCAGTGTCTTCACCATCAGTATGTACCTCTCACCATTGACTGACTTGGTGAGTGGGAGTGGGAGTGGGAGTGTCCATGGAGGTGGGGGAGATAAGAAGGGTCAGGCTTCCATAGCCAGAGACTGTAGTGTACACTCCAGGGGAAGGGAAAATTCAAATCCTGGAAAGTCAGGGCAGTAGAGGTGGGTAAGTGGAAGGCAGGAGGGAAAAGTTGGGTAACAGAAGATCAGGGAGGATATTTGACCTATTTTCTGAGGAAATTATTAGGCAAGGTGGGAGCTTTACTGTGTGTCTGGGCTAGGAGTATCTTTCATCCTTTCCCACAGGCCAAAGTTATTCAGACCAAATCAACCCAACGTCTCTCTTTCTCACTGACCATTGCCACCCTTCTCACCTCTGCCTCCTGGACTCTCTATGGGTTTCAACTCAGAGATCCCTACATCATGGTAAGCAGCACAGGCATGGGGCAACAGGTGTACAAGGTGGAAAATCAACTCCTCTCCTCATAGTAGCCCTTGTGATTTCAGGTGCCCAACCTTCCAGGAATCCTCACCAGCTTCATTCGCCTCTGGCTTTTCTGGAAGTACCCTCAGGAGCAAGACAGGAACTATCAACTCCTACAAACCTGACCACAGGACTCCTTAATGCCAACCTATTACCAAAGAGGTTCAAACCAACCTGTTTCAGCTGTTCCTGCTGACCAGCTTCATGTGTGCCATGGGTTATGGAAAAGAAACAACTTTGAAAATCTGGGGACCAAAGAGCTTTACTTAAAGAGGGTGGGACCTGGGAGATGAAGCACTTATTTTTTAGATATTATATTTTTTAATTTTGGAGATTGGGGTGAAATCTTTAGAATGTGCCTTAAAATAAACTGTTCCCTACCCCTGCCCATCAAGGCTCATTCTCTATTCAGTGATTATCAACCTGCCTGGTTTGGTGAAGGGTAGAGGTGTACTGTCTAATTCAGTTATTCTTGGGCTAGTAGGGTTAGCTCAGAAAAGGTATCTAAAAGAACCAGAGCAACCTAGGAAAGACCTAGGGACTCCTTCAAAAGGACAGAGCTTGGATATTATGAAGAATGTAGGTTACGCTTCAAGAAGTACTTCCTGACAGGGTCAAAAGCACTAGAAAAGTGAAACATTTCCATCCTGAGCGATCTTGAGAAGGAGTCTTTGCCTCCTTTGGAGCAAAAAGGAGGAACACCAGCAGAATGCAAAGATAAAGGCTCGGATGACCTCAGGAAGGTGGCTTGTCTGCCTCTTACTTCTAGACACTTGGTACACACACAATCCCCAATTCCCATTCTCCATACTAAACAAAGTTAGAAAGTAAACTTGTTCTTTAATGG